ACTGCAGGGCCCCGCGCTGGCCTGTGCTGCCGCTGTCAAGCGAGTCTGGCACCTGACCCAAATCATTCACCAACTCCATGGCACAGAGAAGGCGAAGAGTTTACCTGTTTTTTTACAGCTATCCAGCGTTCTGCTGCTGCCACCAGTTGTAACGTGTCCTACGGATCAGGGTTTGATGCTGGTATAGAATCACACACAGCCGCAACTCCCTGTTCTGGTCACGAAATCTCTGTTTTATTGCTGTAGTGTCCACAACAATGTGTTTTTCAGCTAAGCTCTAAACATGGCTCCTCCCGACAGGGACTGCACAGGCGCGAAGCGGGAAAACCGCGGGCCGTTCGCACACCAGCGCGGGCAGCCAGCCAACTCCATGCGGGTCCGAGCTGGCGCCCCCACCGGCCGGACCTGCCAGCGCTACACTACCTTAATAGCACAATGGTAATGGAAAGAGGAAAAAAGAACTGAAAACTACCTTAATCACACAATGGTAATGGAAAGAGAGAAAAAAGAACTGAACACTACCTGAATCGCACAATGGTAATAAAAAGAGAAAAAAAGAACTGAACACTACCTGAATCGCACAATGGTAATAAATAGAGAAAAAAAGAACTGAACACTACCTGAATCGCACAATAGTAATGGAAAGAGAAAAAAAGAACTGAATGCTGCCCGAATTCCCTGATTTACATCACAGCAGTAGCGCCCCCACTCATCCAGAAAAGCTGACAAATTTTAATGTTTATAGCAAGATGCCGAAAATTGTGAAATATTCTCTGAATTGAAAAATTCAAAGGACCTGACGTTTCAGTCCTAGCAGAATCTTTTACCAACATGTGTTCAAGTTTCCACCAACACAGTTGAATTTTTAGTGACTTGTACATGATATAAAAACTGAACATTTGGAAGTGTAAATATAGAAAGGTTTGCACAAGTATATGTTTGACCTAAAATATGTTGAAATACATGCCAGGTCTGAATAGTTTATGTATTCTCTGTCTATTAACATATTGAAATTTCTGTGTTGTTATTTAAATACATGCAAATGTACTGTGCCCTCTGACCTTTTTTGAAATTGCACAATCCTAACCTTTAAATATTAGTTCCGAAATTATTTCTATCAAGAGGCCTGTGGCCTGGTGGTTAGCTTGCTGGCTGCCAGGCCAGGGGACCCCGGTTCAAATCCCGGGGTCCCCGGAAAAGGAAGTTTTTTTTTTTTTTTTTTTTTTTTTTACTAAGTTTTTTAAAA